TCGACGCTCGACCTCCACATCGAGTGTACGCCCTCCATTCCTATCTTTCGATTGCCCTGTCCATCCACTGCTAGCTACTCCTACATAGCTTTTTAGTTTGGCAGCCTACTTCTAGTTGTGCGTCTGCTCTGAATTTAAATGCCAATCGTCCGGCACAGTTCGACCAGGTACCGTTTATATGTGCATGAACCCATGTTTTGTCTAACTGCATGATGTTTTTTTTACAATCATTTGGCTTATGAAGTCTAGTTACTGTCAAAAAAAAAAACTATACTTCACTGCTGCATCCTATTCCTAGATACATGGAGAACTAATTTTGAGGACTGCATTTTGATTCGTTCCTCAATCATAATTTCTTCTTCTTGTTCTGTTGGCAGCACGTGTTGATGCGATGCACAACACTAACAGGATCTTCCCGGAGGAGGGGTTCCTGTTCTGTAACTCGGCAAATATTGTCTCGGTCAGTGTCGTTTCCTCCGACTATGGATACCCGCTCAATGTCTACGGCACCATCATAGCCAGGGACAGTCTGGATCGCCAACGCGTCTATTTATTCCAGCGTGGCAGGACGATTGCCAAAACATCAGCTCCAAGGTATTATTGCTTTTGACCCCGATTCGTAAATTCCAACCGCATTTTTCCAGTTTAACCTAGAGCTAAGTAAGCACCGTGCTTATTCAAAATTCCTTTGCAGAATGATGTGTTGGTTTTGACTGGCCCGAAGAGAGGACTGATGATATGTGACTCAATAATCTTTGAAGTTGATCTGAAGGTCAAGGACGTGAACGGCAGAAAGGTGGATGACGAGAGAGTTAGCAAAGGCTTAATGGAGATTAATGGCATCAAAAGACTCTCATATCCACCGAAATACCAGGTTCAAACCGAGGAGCTTGTCAGCATGCACAGCTCATTGGATCTGAGCTACACGTTTGTAAGGAATGCGGTAGAGGGCACCGTTGAGGCGAGGATCCTCGAGGGACCTGTTGATTTCCATGGGAGAATCGTCGCTCGCACTAGCAGCTTTCCATGTGACATTATGCTACATGGTAGCGAACTTGCTGGGATGCTGACAGGTGGTGACGGTGGAATCCTGCAAACAGCGCGCCGCGTGGTCAGCGTCTCCATTGATGAGACGCTCCTGTTGACCATTGCTGCTGCTACCAGTGGTGTCCGCACTGTTGAGTTTACTCCAAAGCGTGGCAGCTACGATGAAGAGAAAATCACTTGCGGCGACTATAAGATGCTGGTGAAGGTCACTTGGTCCATTGTGTGCTGGTGAAGGTCACCTGGTCCATTGTGCATCGCTGATTCCGTGCGTTCCTGGTTGAACATGCTATATCCAACTTAAGATGTGTGTGCTCTGTATATGCTGTCGTACTAAATATGTATGTGCTTTTTATGGGTAAGAATTATATATCTGGTATGAGCTTTGAAGTGTATGTGCTTCACTTTGATTTTGTTACAACACTTGAGTCTTGAAAATGTATTGATGAGAGCTTTGCAATAACATTTCCTGACGTTTCAGTTAACAAAACAACAGAAATACTTGGCCAGGTTAGGCATAACACAGCCAACAACAACTAAGCTAGTACATTAAACTCTTTGAATTGAACGGCAGGTGATCTCTTTGGTATCATGTATTGGGAGTTAAGATTTCTAACAAGTTTTTTCTCGAAAAGAAGGATTACCCCCAGCCTCTGCTTCAGCATGATTCACACAACCATCTTTATTAATTATTCAACATAGCTTGATAAAATGATCACAAGGATCAACCCGAAGCCACCTTCTAGGCAAACAAAGTCGCTACACCTACAAGTATGTACGGATGTCCCCTGTCCGCATATTAGACAAAATCTAATCCAGTGGCCTTAAGACCATCCGGTCTAGGCGTCCCATAATGTGCACCATCTGCGCAAGCTCTACGATCCGCTGTCGTTATCTTCAACCATCGGAGGAATCATGCAAAGATCCTACCGGTCCCATTTGCTGTCGACATCACCACGGCAACAGACAGCGACACCAGCGTGCGCTCTTCGATCAAACCACGTCCAACACTGAGAGTCGACTGCTCCACGCCGCTGAGACCCACCGTCTTCAATGTGGTCGATGTAACACCGCTCCACCTGTTGGCCTCTCCAGTGAACCACTACTGCCCATAGGAGGGAGAATGGCACGAAAGTCTCCGTCGTTTGGTCCGGAAGACCCAAATCTAGGGTTTCCCTCGGAATAACTGCCACCTAGAGGAAGAGGGGCACACCATCTGCAACTGCGGACGTACCCAAGTGGTGCCCATTGCCACATAGCTCTCATGACGACGCCTTCAAGAAGGACACGACGCCAAGAGCGCCTTCGCCGACCTAAGGTTTTCACATGAGACCGTGATGTGGGAAAAGGTGGGGCAGATCTGAACGATGTCTCCATGAAGAAAAATGGCACCCTCGGGTGTCGTCGCCGTCATGACCGATAGGAGCCGACCTGGGAATTATCCCAATGCGGATACCAACCTCCTGCTCCATCCCAACCCGGTAACCGATTACCAGCACGACCATGTCTGATAAGATGGAGTGCACGCAACGTTGGTTGGAGAAAGGAGCAGCTCGGCGCCGTTGGCCGCTAGGGCAGCAAGCCGCGGCACCAACCCGCCAGTGCATGGCCGGCCACCTGGGCCGATCACCGATAGACCACCCGCTATGCCGCGCCATCGGGTAGGGAGGCCATCCCAGGGGCCGCCGTCCCTGATTAGGGCCCTCCTAACCAGATCAGGAAGGGTTGCGCCTGCCCTACCGCCAATGGCACCGTTGGGATGCCGGACGGATGCCATGTCGTCGTTGTCCATGCAGGGAGGCTTGGTCTAGATCAGCGCTACCACGATCCAGATCGGGATCACACCCTCGAGATGGAGCGTCCTGCACCACCCAAGGACCCGAGATGGGAGGAAGTACCTCCGCCGCCGCCGTCGGACACAATGAACCACATCACAACTCACAAACCATAGGGCTTTGAACACTACTACATGGTAGCAGTTAGAAATGTCAGACCTCATCCATTTCCTAGGTCCTCGGGGTTCTACTTTTTAGTACTGAAAACATCTACAAAAATATTATTCTTTGTTGTATCATTTTATTTTATTTTATCTTGTACCGGTACCTACCATAACGTGCAATTTATCCTTGTAAGTATCACGACGAAAAACTTGACAACTTTTTCGAAACGTTAGGGGGCAAGAGTGTCTTATGTTTTATGTCCAGGTACATGTGACTTTGTTTGCTAGAAGAAATCCTTCTGGTTCACTAAATCTTGGTTCTCCATTGAGGGGAATACTTATTGTTAGGTTACTTCACCCTTACACTTTGGGGTTACCCAATCACTCTTACAAGACGCTTTTGTTTCGGGCGTCGGCTCATTTGCAGGGGGCGTTTTGACATCCGATCCACCCACTTGTGGTGTGTGTGTGTGTGTGTGTGTGTGCTGGTTACGTTGAAAGGCTGGTCCTCTCCTAGTTGATGTCCATCGTGGAGAGATGATTTCGCTCCCTGTTGGGCCGCAGAGTCATCCTTTACTTCCCATCTGGTGGTGGTGCGCCACCTGGGAGCTCGTCCCTTGGCCGGGTAAGGCGGGGCTTGGAGACAACCACCACCCTTTTGTTAAACCTTTTATTATTCCTATTGACTTTTTAGAACATGTGAGGCTAACCGTTATGCAGTTGAGGAACCGTCCCTTGACCTCGATCTGCACTCCCTCTGGCTACCTTCACATCCTCGTTGTCTCTCAATTTGCTCGTCCACCGAACTTCACCCTCCTCCAGAGCTCGCACATCCGGCGGAGCCCGGTGCCTTCTTTGGTGACGGGTGTGGCTCCCCTTTCTTCAGTCGTGGTTCCAACCTATGCCCGACTTCCTCTTCTTCGATTTGTGCTCCGACGAGTTGTGACTGCTCAGAATTTGGCCAAGGTCAAAACCTCTGCATCCTATGCTGGCAACGGTGACACCCGCGGGTGCCATGCCCTTTTAAAGGCATTGTCATGGCCGTTATCTGTGCCCCTCTTCGAGCATCAAAGGAAACCCTACGTCCGGTTATCCGGATCGGACGTCTTGGTGCCATTCTTCTTTTGTGAAGGCGTTGTCTTGTTTGCTCGCGGCGTCCTCGGTTCTGGATTTGGAGATTTTGGCCGTATTGTTGTTGCCTTGTTGGTTTGGACTGCTTATGGGGATGGCGAGTCTAGTTGTGTTTTCCTATTTTACGCCGAGCATCTCAGGTCTCTCTGCCCTCTTGCATCCATGTTATTTGTTGTACCACCTCTTGTACTCACTCTATCTTCTTCTATCGATGGAATGATACACAAAGTTTGCGTATCTGCGAGAAGAAAAGAAACAAACTCTTCTCTTGGGCTTCTTTCAAAGCGGAAAGAAGCGGGCCACGGGCCTCTCGGACCCTCTTTCATTATATAGTACCTGGGCCATCTCACACCCGATCGAGCGCCACACTCCTCGATCCAATAAGTCCCCTGTGGAGGAGCCCCGAGCCCGACCCGAACTCGATTCCCCCATGGCCGGCGGCGGTTCTTCTTCTTCTTCCACGGCGAGAGAGGAGGGGAGGGCGAGCGCGCGGCTGCGGAAGAAGCAGAAACTGCATCAACAGGAGGAGGAAGAGAAGTGGGCGAACCCTCTGGACCCCAGGTTCAGCGACTATGACCCCAAGGAGGGCGATTACGTCTTGACCCGCTTCCAGCACCCCACGCTCGACCTCCACATGGAATGTCAGCACCACCTTCTCGTCCCCATCCATTCCGTCCAATGCAAGTTCTTTTTTAGTTTGGCAACCTATTTTTGTGGCTGATCTTCTGAATTTATAAAGTCTACTTACTGTAAAAATAAACTATATGATGTTTTGCCTAACTGAGTACTTCATCCAGCTCTGCCTAGATAGATGGACAACTAATTTGGAGGACTACATTTTGATTCATTCCTCGGTCATTTTTGTTTGGCAGCACCTGTTGGTGCAATGCACAATACTAATAGGACCTTCCAAGATGGGTTCCGGATGTGTAACTCGGCTAATATTGTCTCGGTCAATATCGCTTCCTCCGACTATGGATACCCGCTCAATGTCTACGGCACCATCATAGCCAGGGACAGTCTGGATCGCAAACGCGTCTACTTATTCCAGCGTGCCAAGGACGATTGCCAGAACATCAGCTCCAAGGTATTATTGGTTTTAACCCCAATTGGTAAATTCCAACAGCTTTTTTCCAGTTTTACCCCAAGTGTAATTGCGACATAAGTATATGCCAAGTATCTAAGAAGAGACTAGTATACCCATATAGTGTTGATTTTAAGTACCACCAATACTTCAATTATTTTCCTTAAATCAAACAATTTTAGCAGTAAACCAGAATGCTACGGAAATTAATCTTGTTTTATCATTCAAACAAAGGGAGCTAAATGAACACCGTACATGTTTATTCAAATTACTTGCTTTGTAGAATGATCCGTTGGTTTTGACTGGCCCGAAGAGAGGACTGATGATATTTGATTCAATAATCTTTGAAGTTGATCTGAAGGTTAAGGATGTGAACGGCAGAAAGGTGAATGACGAGAGGGTTAGCAAAGGCTTAATGGAGATTAATGGCATCTCCAGACTGTCATTTCCAACGAAATACAAGGTTCAAACAGAAAAGCTTGTCAGCATGCACAGCACATTGGATTTGAACTACACGTTTGTAAGGAAGGCAGTGGAGGGCACCGTTGAGGTCAGGATCCTTGAGGCGGAACCTGATAATTTCCATGGGAGAATCATCGCTCGCACCAGCAGCTTTCCATGTGACATTATGCTACATGATAGCAAACTTGCTGGGATGCTGACAGCTGGTGAGGGTGGAGTCGTGCAAACAGCGCGCCGCGTGGTCAGTGTATCGGTTGATGAGACGCTGCTGTTGACTGTTGCCGTCGCTGCAGGTGGTGTCAGCACTGTCGAGTTCACTCCGAAGCGCGGCGGCTATGAAGTTGATGAAGAGAAGATCACCTGCGGCGACAATAAGATGCTGGTAAAGGTCACTTGGTCCATTGTGCATCGCTGATTCCCTATGTTCCTGGTTGAACATTCGTGCTATATCCAAATTAAGATGGGTGTGCTCTGTATATGCTGTCGTACTAGATATGCCCCCGATGCATTTGGTGGAAGCTTAACTATCACTGTTCTTTATGACTGGGTGAGGGTAAGAATTATATCCTGTATCTGGCATGAGCTTTGAAGTAGGAGGAACAGACAAAGTGTATGTCATCACTTCGATTCTGGCACATGCATTTCATATATAGGATGTTATTAGGACAATGAACCACATCACAGCTCACAACCCACAAGGGCTTTGAACACTAGTACAGGGCAGCAGCTAGAAATCACAGACCTCATCAACTTCCTACTAGTGTTCCTTCTATCTGAAAAACAAAAACATACCAGCCTAGAAAGCTGCAGGTCTAAAACTAACCCTCCTGAACACTAACTCCAGTTGCGAACCTAGGCGAGAAACTGCATCTTTAAGCTAATCCTTCTGAACACCAACTCCAACTGAGAGCACGTAAACGCCGTGTAGTGTATAGATGTCGACTTCCTTCTTACACATTCTTCCGTTCACTCCACGTGCGCAAGCTCGCTGTTCGATGGGTTTGCCGGTTGCATGGTGCCGGGGATGGTACGGTATTCCCTCTCCGTTATGAACCTCACTTCGTCATGTTGGCTGATTGGTTCTGCTATCCCTCTGGGAAGGAATCCCCGCTCCCGTGCGGCCAGCCACTGATCGATGACGCCGCATTTGATGGCGTGCTTCGCTGTCTTGTGCAAGTAGACCTTGTCTGTCACCAGGTGAGGGTTGATCGACAGCATATTCATCAGGGCTGAAAAACAAAAGCAATATACACGTCTTGTCACCTCAACTGTATGCAAACATCAGGAGTATTACAAAAACACATAAAAGATGAAGCATCATTAATCATGACAGCTAACATATGTTGATATCCAGATTTATAAAGACCAAAAGATAGCGTTATAACAAATGAGCAATGCATACCCTATCCACAGAGTAAACATAACAAATGAGCAACATGAGGCGCCGCGAGACGCGCGGGCACCAGGCGCTGCTGCGGATGTGCATCACAATGCAGCGCGCAGCCGTGGTGGTTTCTCTGGTGGCGGCCGGGAGCACCACGGAGACGCTGGAACGCGATACCCGCATCGAGGCTAGTGGGGCGACGACGGCTATGACATGTATGGTGAAGGCCAGCACCGCGGTTCTTCGTCTACTGGAGGTGGCGCCGGATATGCTTGGTACAATGGTGGAGGCCCGGGTCATGGTTTCCAAGGACCTCCAGGCAACTTCCTCGAGGGGGTTGCAGGCCCCAGTAATAGGTATAACCGGGGAAGTCACCGTGGTTTCCGTGGTGGGAGAGGAGGGGGTCGGCGCCCACCTCCACCGTGACCTCCACCACTGCCTGTTGTTGCGGCTGCTGCGGCCCAAGCCGAGCCAGTTGCTCCGGTGGAGACGGCCTCACCTGCTCTTCCCGAGGTGGTTGTAGACATAGTCCGGGCTTTGGCAGCGGTCAACATTCCAGAGACCAACACTGGGGCTGCAAAGGTAGGTGACGGAGGTTCTGACAAGGGATCGGACAAACGCGATGGTGAAAAATTATCCAAGTGGGCTCTTAATAAGAAGAAGTTACCGTGTTACAGATGCAGCGAGCCGGAACATTTTGTGGTAGAGTGTACCACAGAGCTATGTGATTATTGTTGTAGATCGCAGCACATGTCTGGTAAGTGCCCGCTCCTATCAGGCCCAAAGCCGATGGTCAATATTTATGGGGTTTGCTGTCAGGAGTTAATGTTTTTTGAGTCACCGGATGTGGCACCTATGAAGCATGTGATGGAGAGTTCCTTTCCCGCAGTTGTCAAGGTTACTAATGGGATCATGACAGAGGCACAGATTGTGCGGCAGTTGGGGGAGTTGGTACCAGACAACTACCAGTGGGACCTTGTCAAGTTGGAGAACCAGACATACAAGGAAGATTTTCCCACTGAAGAGGACCAGTTGCATATCCTTAAATTTGGCATGTGCAACAGTACCGAGTACGAACATTATCATGGCAAGCAGAAGGAGCCCGAGGGTACACCTTTAGAGAAGGTCTGGGTACGGCTCTATTGTGCACCGCGCAAACCGATTAATCACTTCTTGGTAGCTTGGAGCTTGGGATCTCTCATTGGTAAGACGGAACAGGTAGACATGTGATGTAGGGTGGAACCCTAATTCGTCGATCTTTCACGTCTAGAGTGGATCCTACGGAGGAATCACGAAGAACACGCGGAAGCACAAGGGGAAACACGGGGAAGACGAGAGAGAATCACTCAACCAACAAGGAATCGATCACACAAGTGCTAGATCAACATACACACATGAGATCCACAAGATACATAGTCAACTAGGGTAAGGATACAAAGGAACCGTTCATCTCCAAGAGGAGGCCTTGATGTTCTTCCCTAGATAGGGGTCTTGAATCCGCTGAGGGATCTTCTCCGAGGAGGTCCTGATCTCCGAGGAGAAGTAACCGAGTGGATGAGCAAAGGCTCTCACACAAATATGAGCTAATCCAATGCTAAGTCTCAAAGTGAGGAGAGGGGGTCCTATATATAGGCTAGGGGGCGAAGGGGTACATGGGCTCAGCCCAAGTCACGCACACAGGCGGGGTCCGGATGATCCGGATGGTGGCCCGGATGATCCGGGTGTCGGGGGTCCGGATGATCCGGGCGACCGTCCGGATGATCCGGCTTCATCGAGCAGCTTCTGTTGTCTTCGGCGCCGTTACCTGGATGATCCGGGGGAGGGTCCGGATGATCCGGCTGGACCCGGATGATCCGGACGGCGGTCCGGATGTCCGGGCTGTCTCCAACAGCCGCTCCGTCTTCTTCTTCTCCTTTCTTTCGTCTTCTCTTCCATGCTTGGCCTTTGTCCTTGGATTCTCCATGGTCATCTTGGTTGTACCTGAGTGTATACAAGGTCCACGCATGAGGTAGTAGCCATGTCTCATATGCGGAAAGTGACGGTTCGAAGAGGAGTGAATTCACCTTGTGTCCGATGGCGCATAGTCGAGGTCTCATCTTATGTATCCTTGGGGCTTGGAGAGTAGCCGGAGTGTACATGGGGATGAACGTGGGATGCTCCGCATCATATCCCCCCCTTGGGAAAGATCCGACCTCAGATCGTGATCCTCATCACCATGGAAACGGGTGTCGTGGACGGACTTGTAGTGGTACGTAGGTGAAGGCCTTGCGCAATCCAAGTACTCCAAGGTGTCTCCGGTATGTGGTACATGCAAAATGAGCAAACACAAAGTACACTTGTAAATACAATGGTTAGCGCACACAAAGTGTCCATCAATTAAGCGTGAGTCCGTGCGAAGGGATAGTGCGTGACAAAGCGCATGAAGCTTATCAATATGATATAGAATGATATGCAAAGAATTCATGGGATAATTAGCATGGTGCACAAAGCGACAAATTCTACCATTGTGCAAAATGATGTCATAATGGGATGGTGCATCAAAAGCATGAACATGGCAATGGATGCTCAATATGTATATGTTATCATGCAATTGATGGTGGGCAATATGATCATGATGTATGAATATGCCATCAAGGAAGATCACAACAAATTTGCTAAGGAAATGCACAAGCTCATATATCATGGATGACATGGAAATAGATGCAACAAGACAAGCACAATGTGAGTCAATCCACGCATGAGGTTCAAACTTGTGGTGAGTATGATATGTCCATCGAGCATGACATGTATGAGCACAATCAACAAATATGGAGGTGTTGGTGTACCAAAGTTCGATGCCGAGGCATGAGTGGAATTCCGAAGGTGCATCTCATAAGTGCGAGCGCTCCTCAATGTGAAGGTCCATGTAGCCAATCTCCAATGTCGCTCCTCCGGTCGCGAGATGTATCGTGTAGACAACAAGAAGGAAACAACAATGAAAGAGTGACCCATCCAATATGCAAACTTGAGGATGGCTCAAAGGGAAGGAGTTCACCTTTAGTAGATTCCCGCAAATGTTGGTGTTGTACATCGTGTATGCCTTCGCATGACCAAGTTGTCGCATAACGGCATCGCCTTGTGAAACCTCCAAAATGAAAGAACATGACAAACACTCGGAAAAACAAATGAGGTTAGCGGAAATGCAAAACCTATCATTCGAGTGGTAAGATACCCAACAAGTGTATGCATCATGCTCATCATAAGAAAGTACAAGGGAGCGTGTCATAGTATGGAGGCATATGATGCAAGAACAACCAAGTGCAATAGGCTCAATCAAACAAGCATGCATCACAAGTAAGGTGTCCAAGTCTCCAAGATCAATAAGCATAGCAAGTTGGCACTCAATACAAGGTGATATGAGAGATGCAACTAATGGAGACAAGAGGCAATGATCATGATAAATCAAGTGAGAGGCATCAACATCTATGTCATCAACCCAAGAAAGCAAGTAATAGTGGAACATGGGTGATGCAACATAGCAAGCAATCATAGCTATCAAGTCAAACAAGCTAGTAGTGCGAAGATGCAACATACTAGGAGGAATCATGGCAAGCATGTCATTGGTGCAAATAGTGTGCATGAATAATTCACATGTCATAGCACAAGCATGAAAGCAAGATATGAGTAAAATGTTATCAATGTATTGGCGAGAGACCATATGTAAATAGCAATGGGGCATCATGACTCTCCCAACACAACAAGCATCAATAGTATGGGGCACATGATAAACATGGCAATAGCAACAAGGATCTCCACCAAGCATGCAAATACACGTAGGAGTATCATAATGGTGAATCATGGGTAGATGCAAGCAAGGGTCACAATTGCATGGCAAAGGCATAGAAGCAAGCATAGCATGCAAAGTGAACACGGTAAAATGAGCATAATGTGACAAGTGGTGAATAGCCCATAGCCGTTTGAGAGCCAAGTAGCGGAGTTGCACGTAGTCCTTGTGCGAAGGGGACGGTGGTGAGGATAGTCCACGGGATCCCAAAGCACCGTTGCTCTCAAG